GCCCGAAGTCCCTCGCACGAGACACATGGGCGCCGGAGGAGTCCACATCTCGGGCTTCGATCAGCTCCTCTTCAGCAGTCAGCCGATGACCAACGGCACTCGCACGATTCTTGATGTGGACAGGTACTGGTTCATCTTGCATTTTAGTACCTTATATAAACATCCACGTATACATATGCATGTATATTTGTTTCTTCGATTAGCTGGTATACAGTAATTTTGATAGTCTTTTGATTAATAATTGCAATGCCTGGACAGAGAAAACTAAAAGTACGTGTACAGGAATTTCTAGTACACGGAGGAATATATAAATTATACACCAGAGCAAAGAACACAAGCCATGCGCTACAAGCCCATAATGATCTACGATGTAGATACTTCAAACGCATACGAAAAAACCGGCAATTTCCACGAAACTTAAGTACTACCCCTTCTCTGCAGCGCCCTAACGCCCACTTACCAAGAGCACCTTCAGGAGGAGCTGGATTCCGCGCTCGTGGTTGAGATAAGGTCTCATCCCTGCGAAGACATACCGCTGCCTATGCATCAGGTTGGTATGGTAAAACCTATCTCTTTAACCATTTGCGCATGGACTGAGACATAGAACTATGGACTATGTGGTGATTATATTCACTGTGATAATATTTTCTTTTTTTTCGACAGACCAACAAGCGTTACGTCATCTACATATACCAACCGACCCAGAGTGATGTTTATCATTCGTACTTCGTCATTGCCCAGGTTAGATAAGTATCTAATACTCTTGTTCCCTGAATGAATAAGCTTGCTGATAATGATGACGATTATGATTATAACGATGATGGTTATGGATTCAACAAAGGCAAAGATAAAGACTAAGACAAGACAGGATAAGGCAAAGACGAAGACGACACCAATGACTGGTTACAGAAAATTAACACGTCTTCCTCCACGCAGTGTCTCGGCATCAACGAACGCGACATGCACGAAAGTTACAAGATGCTGGTAACTTTCCCCTTCTGCGGCAACCAGGTCTACGTGGTGGCCTGTCCCAACTCTCCTTATTGGTAACTGCCCTGCTTTCTTGGTTCATCCCAGCGGTTACATAGGTGTTTCATCCGTACTTTTGGACAACGAAGATTAGAAAACTTTCATCGAAGTTGCTGTTGTAGATGTGTAAAATTATAGTTTGTATCAAAATAACCGAAAAAAAAACATCCGTGAAAAGACGCATACATATATAAACACACTGAGAGAGAGAGAGAGAGAGAGAGAGAGAGAGAGAGAGAGAGAGAGAGAGAGAGAGAGAGAGAGAGAGAGAGAGAGAGAGAGAGAGAGAGAGAGAGAGAGAACGAAAATCATCCCTACCTTTACCATATCTATTAGTCCCAAGGAAATCCTAAACATTTCTCCCTCCCGCAGCCACCCTCGCCATCCTTCCCAGGTCTACCACGCGACGGAAGAGGACGCCGACATAGCGAGGGCGAATCCTTTCAACATGCCTCTCCTCCAGGTGTCCTACGGGATTAGGACGCTCGCCAAGGATCCCTGGGACGAGTTTACACTAATGAACCGTGTTGTTGTTAACTATACAATAGGGAGTGATGATGGGTAGAATGGTTACTTCAGGGACAAAAAAATATTTTTTTTAAGAATAAATGTGTATATACTTCCGTGAAAAAAATAAATAAAAATAACAACAGCAAAATACTTGCTCTTTTTATCCTTTATTAAACCCCTGACTACGACGAGCCGCACTACCTTAGGTTAAATATCGAATAATCGCTTACTGTCACAATACAAATGCCAAATAGCTCTTTCATACGAAAGGGCAGTGATCAATCTTACTTAAAAATAAGTAAATAAATCATATATTTCACATATACAAGTTAAGAGAAAGATGTTAAATAAAGCGAGAATTGAAGCACGGGAGAAACGGACAGATAGAAAAATAGGCCAACATACATATATGCTAAATAAAAAAATACACACACACGCATATATATATATATATATATATATATATATATATATATATATATTATATATATTATATATATACATATATATACACATATATAGACATATATAGACATATATATATATATATATATATATATATATGTATATTATATATATAATATATATATACATATATATATACATATATATACATGTATATACATGTGTATATATATGCATACATACACATATATATATATATATATATATATATATATATATATATACATGTACATATATATATATATATATATATATATATATATATATATATATATGTATATATATGCGTGTGTGTGTGTGTGTGTGATGGGTAGAATGGTTACTTCAGGGACAAAAAAAAAATATTTTTATTAAAAATAAACGTGTATATACTTCCGTGAAAAAAAAATCTCCAAAACCTCCAAAAGGAAAACTAAGGCTGATATTATGGCTTGACGTGTCTTCGGAAGTTACTAAAAAAAAATTTTTATTCGTCGATTTTCCTCCTTGTTGCGGCGTTGTCGTATGATAATTTGAATAATAAAATCCTCATTAAAGATTCTTCGAATGCGCCCATTTATTTTGCGAATTCACTGGAAAATGCTACTCGTATCATATTCTTGTTTTGACTATTTTTTTCCTTAGCGTTTTCGAAAAAGGAACCTTGCGGTGATAAATATACGACCTGGTAACATTAATGGTCTTGGCGCTTGAGTTGCCAGCTCGTCTATTCCAAAGGCGATAGTCAGTGTTGGGAGATTTTTGTCCGGAATGAAAGTTGTCATGTGATTCAGAGCAATGGTGACAAATTATCCAATTACATAGTGAACTTAGAAAGACAGTCGTGTTGCGAGTACTGAAAAAATGAGTTACCTATCGACACCACACTTTACATCCGCACCAACATGAACTTCAAAACAAACTGTGAAACAACATAGAAAGCCCATTGTCATGTTCAGATTTAAAGGCAATGATTTAACACCATAAATTCAACACACCTTTTAAAGTAACACAAAGATGCCGCTCTCCAAGACACAACGAATAACAGGCATTATCGTACTGAACCTTCTTTACATCATCATTCTCATCTACTTGAACTTTGACGTCAAAACCACTCATGATAATACGTGGGCGGTCATCCGAAGGCTTCAGAGAACGAAAATACGCCTTCAGGACGGCGGAGAAGGGACGCCTGACCAGCCCGACGGAACCGCAGAAGACGCAGTTGAAGCACGCGATAAGGGCGCCACGGAGGAGGACTTCCGCGTTGGAGATCTGCCTGCAGGACGGGGTGAGTTTATCGAGAAATGACGGGGAGAAATAAGATTCATGGTGGTGATGATAATGAGGGTGATGATGATGAAGGCGGTGATGGTGATGGTGATGGTGATGATGATGATGATGATGATGATGATGGTGATGATGAAAATACGATAAAAATAGAATAGTACTAATAATTATAAAACTGTAATTATAATATCATCAATAATAATATTGATTATACTAATACTACAACAACAATACTACTGCTAATAACAATAATAACTATATTAATAGTAACAATGATAGTAATAATGATTATGATAAAAATAATAATAATAATAATAATAATAATAATAATAATAATTATAATAATGATGATGATGATAATAATATAATGATGATTATAATTCAACATTAACAATAACAATTATTACTATTGTAACAACAACAATAATAATGATAATAATAATCATTATTATAATGATAATGATAATAATAATATTGTTCATAATATTAAAAACAATAACAACAACGATAATATTGATATTAACAATATTGCTTGATATGCCTGAAGATAGTAATGATAAAATTGATGATAATAAAATAATAATAGTAATGCTAATAATGATGATAATGAAATAATAGTAGTAATGATAATCATTATCATTATCATAAGTGATAAAGATAATTATGATAATTATAATAACCATTAATATTATCATTCTTACTAGCATTATCTTTATTACCAATATCATAATTTTATAATTATTATTTCTTATTTTCATCATAATCATCATCTTTATTAACATCATTATTGCTATTATCATTATTATATTGATCATCATTCTCATTTTTGTTTTGGTACCGTTTGTTGGTTAGTTTGATCGTTAGGTAGTTGGTTAGTAGGATAACAAAAAGTTAAAAACAGATTTTATGATTTTTTTTACCAGAGGTGTGTCTTAGTCTAACTTAGATGCCATTAACTTTTGGTGGTAATCCGGGTAATGATCCGGAACCAGGATTTTTGAAAAGAATTCATTAGCATTGTGAGATAAGGACAAAATAAACTTATTGGCGCCAAATTATTATTATTAGTAGGATTAGAATTAGTATTATTTTCATACTCATGATCATCATCACCAGCAGCACCATAACACCGATAACAACAGCAAATATTTACGCTTCCTCACACCATTCCACCATACACGATAAAATAGCCAATACAAGGAAGTATTCGCCATGAATACAGCACACATCTCGCAACTCTCCTCTTTCCATCTCCGCCACGGGGAGAAGCGAAGAGAAGCCCCTCGCCGCAGCATCCCTCCCAGCCCCCGGGGGATGCACCGTCTCGAGACACGCTAACTCCTCCGGGCGAATTCTTGCATCCTACGACCGACGCGGGGACCGAGTCAAAGGAGAGCAGAGGCGTTGTGGAGGATGGGGGGAAGGGAAGGATGGAGGATATGCTTCTTGAGGTTACTGTGAATGCGACGGGTGTTACGCTGTCTGTGGATGGCGAACAGGTAAGTCTGTTGGTTGGTTAGGTGGTTGAGAAAGAGTACATGTCATCAGAAATTATAATAACATTAACAACAGTGTCATTTCGGCAAAGGATAAACAGACGAAAATGGATATGGCATTTATCATAATCTGGAAGAACAGTAACCACCGTACTGTGATAGTAATGTTTGAAGTCCTAGCAGCAACAGTAATAGAAGTAATAATAGCATATTAGTTATAACAGTACTGGTGATAATAGTAGGAGTACAAGCTGTAACAGTGTAGAAACCATAATGCTGGAGCATGATGTTACTATCATCATTGTGAATATTCTTTCTGCAAATCCACTCAGGTGTATAGCATGTTAAACAAGACTCGCCCTTGGGGAAATGGCACAGCAAGGCTTCATGCAGGCATCCACTTGCTAACGTTGCACCAGTTCACTGGAAAGGTCATGCGATCTGACCTTTACATGACCTGGCAGCCCACCAGTGAGGCACAGTTTCTGGCAGAGATGAACAGGATCCAAGACGGTCGACTGCTGGTCATCATGGGAGCGGTAAGAAGAGGGAAGAGAATAGCTTAAAATTGTTCAAAAACAGACTTGAAGGAGAGACGCACTGGGCATTCAGAGTGCTGTCATTTCTGACATAGCAGGGAAGTGTGGGTGTGTGCGTGTGTGTGCATGTGTGAATCGCATTCTTTCCATAACTGCTTTTCAGCCCCGGTTCCTAACATACGTCGCAGAGGAAACACTGGACTCCATTGCGCGCCTGGGCTCGGATTTCGTCGAGGGCCTCTCCATAATGGATTCCTGGTGCTTCGTCTTCCACAAGGGCGGGAAGGTGTTTTCCGACGCCATCAGCACCTCTGAATCCACTCCGAGGGAACTCCCCGATGTGTCTCCGTTATCCATCGCGATAACTGTGCCCCGAAAACCGCGTAAGTAGACTTGAATATGTAGTATTGTATATAATGTAGCTACTGGAAGCTTTTGTGTATAGTCCTGAATATCTTGTATGACCTTTGGGGCAATAAAGGAAATGTTGCGCTAAAATGACACAATTCATCAGTTCTTGAGAAACAGAAAATAAAACAATCAAATTATCCATGTTTATATCACTTTATTTAAAGATAATATCAAGATTTTTCTTCAGAAACACTAGCAAATACACTACGTTAAATTATCATTCACTACCACACCCTATTAATTACTAATGGATGCTAATCATTAACGTAAACAGCTCAAAGATGCAAGTGGTACGACGAAAACAACCTGGGCGAGCGTGCCACGTTCTGCGAAACTTACGAGGGCTACGGGGACTTCTGCCGCTGTGAGGGAACGCCTTGGACCCCAGATCCCAGCAAGGGCGTAAGCAGTGAACGAAGATTGTTTGATAAGAACCTGATTTCCATGTGGGTTTTTAGCTTCAAATACATTATGAGATACGAATTGTTTACCGATATGCACGGGGATGACTGTGTTTCCCTTGTTCTTGCCTTTATCTAGCCCGATTACCCCATGACCGAGGCGATTCCCCTTGCCATAGTTACATCCCGAAGGCTTCCTAACGTACTGAAGCAGGTGAGTCAGGTGTGGGCGTCCCGAGGGGGCAAGCGCACGCCCATCACTCTCTTCGTAGATGGACACAGCCCTGAGGCAAGAGACCTGAGTCGCCTCCTGAACGTATCGGTGGTGGAGCACGACAACCCGGTGCCTCCGTGTGAGCATTCGTTTGCTTTTTTTGTTTTTCTTTTCCTTTGCCTTCTCTGTTGTATTATTCCCAACGTTTCACTGTAACTATTGTTTGTTATTATTCTATTATTGTTCCAGAATTTCTCTTATCTCTTCTTTTTTCGATATTTTATTTCCTTTCTTCTCTTTTATCACTTTTCTCTCCTCTCCTCTATTTTATCACTTTTCTCTCCGCTCTTCTCATGCGTGTCTCCTCCCTCCTCTTACCTCTTCTCTCTTCGCTCTCCGTCCGTCTCTCTTTTCTCTCTCCTTTCCATTCTCTTTTGTTGTTTCTATTTTCCCTCTATTCTACTATCTTTTCTTTCAATTCTAACATTTCTCTCACCTCACCTCTCGTCACTTTAATTTCTCCTTTCTCTGCTACTCATTTCCCTATCTTTCCTTTTCTCTCTTCGCTCTCAGCCGTCTTTCTCTGCTCCTCTCTTTTCTCTCTTCTCTCCCTTCTCTGTCCACTACCCACTTTTCTCTCCCCATTCTCCTCTATTTCTTTCCTTCCACTTTCCCTTCTCCTCTTTTCACTATCCTCTCTTTATTTCTCTCCTTAAACTTTCCTTTCTCTTTTTTTTACCCACTATCCTCTCTTTATTTCTCTCCTTCCACTTTCTTCTCTCCACTCGCCTCTCTCTCGCCTTATCTCCTACCTCTTTCCTCATTCTTGTTTTCTCTCCTCTCTTCTATCTACTCTTCTTATTCTGTCCCCTCCTTTCCGCCCCACCTACTATCCTTTACGACCACGTACATCAAGATTAGATCTTAATATTCTTTTCTTTATTAGCATCGATGAGCAGAGTCAACGCCCACATCAAGTTCACTCTCGAGCGGGTGTTTGAGGAGTACTCCAAGGCTGATAAGGCGATCATACTCGAGGACGACCTTGACCTCGCTCCTGATTTCATACCGTGAGTGCCAATCGCTTCCATGATCTTTCTTTTTCCATAATTTGTTTGAGCGAGATTTAGAATTTGTTGCCATAAAGTTTAAAGACAAATCTGTTA